GTCTGTATCTAGTCCAGGCATATCTTGATAAGACCAAGAAAATATATCCACGTACTCTTTCAATAACTTAATCAACCAGCTCTTCACATCAGGATGCAACGATGCTCCAATCTTAACCTCCTTCGGACCTTCTTCCGAACCCAAATTAACCACTTCCAAAGGCTCCTTATATGGCTGAATGGTATTCTCCTCGTGCTCAAGCAACCGTGAGACCTCTTCTGGAATCTCATCATAATCTTCCTCTTCGGCCCCAAACACAGGACAATCAAAGTTGGGAGAGGGTGCAGGGTCATTATATTCAACGGGTTTTTTAATTAATATGCACATGTGATTTATGATTGCTTTTAGAAACTGACACATATAAAAAGTGATCATGCAGAATAATTTTCAGTTATTATTTATTTTGAAAGGTTTTTTTTACCATTTCCCGAGAAAAAGGCATAAAATAAAAGACATAATTTCGGAAGCAAAGACAACTTTTATTAATGATCTTAACAGTTATAGCAAACAGATAAGCCTTATAACATTAATACTTCCACCTTGGGCAGAGTGAAAGCTTTTCAAAAGAAAGAAACAGATTAACAAAACAAATTACTTTGAAACATGTATGCAATAAGAAACATCAATGGTGACCCAGTTCTGAACTCGGACTCCATGTGTCACATAATTCGGTACTTCCTACTCCGCTTCATCCTCTTCAACAGCATTAATTCCAGAACCAATCGGATGGAGGTAGCCTCCGCTGCGGAAAACATCATGATAACTGTTCACAGAAGACTTTGACTTCAAACTTTTGCTTTTTCCATTCCTCGAAGAGAAACCTAAACCAGCTCTGTTTTTGTTCACGGGTGGATTCACAAGTCGTCCCTAAACTGCATTATGACCATTGCGCACAACCTGCTACGCATCCTTCAGTGAGACCACAGAATTCTCATTCTTCCTTATGTTGTCAATGGATAGAGCTTGGAACTGGGTTCCAACAGCAGCCTCATCTGCTTCTACAATACTGAAAGAGGATAGATGGGATATTAACAACTCCTGCTCCCCATTTATGATCACTACCTTCCCTTCACGCACAAACTTTAGCTTATGATGCAGAGTTGAAGTGACAGCCCCTGCTTCGTGTATCCATGGCCGTCCTAGAAAACAACTATACATGGGAATAATATCCATTACCTGGAAAGTTATTAAGAACAAATGTGGTCCTATATGGATAGGTAAGTCAACCTCACCGATTACAGATTTCCTCGATCCATCAAAAGCCTTCACAATGATGCCACTAGGGCGCATAGGTGTTCTCTGATACTTTAACTTCATGAGGGTACTTCTTGGTATAACATTCAATGCATATCTGTTATCAATTAGCACATTAGATAGCGAGTCATTCTTGCAGTTCATGGATATGTGGAGGGCCAGGTTGTGATTCCTCCCTTCATCTGGTAACTCATCATCGCAGAAACTCAGGTTGTTACATGACGTAATGTTTCCAATTACGCTGCTGAATTAATCCAACGGCATGTCATTCTCCATAAAATCTTGGTCTAGTACTCTCATTAGTGATTCTCTATGAGCTGAGGAATTCATCAATAAATCTAGGATGGATATCTTTGAAGGAGTCTGCAATAGTTAATCTATAATTTTATAGTCGCTCATCTTAATTACCTTCAAGATATCATCCACTCACTACAAGAAAAAAAGAGATTTACGACACATAAATTGCGACAGTTCCCACAAAACCGTCCTTATTCCTGAATTGCGACAGTTGTCACGACGGTTAGGCTCAACCGTCGTAGATTTTCAAGCATTATTCCTGAATTGCGACAGTTGTCACGACGGTTAGGCTACTTTTTTTTATTCTTTTACTTTCCCACTTTTTTTCAGCAACACAATATCATAATATCAACACAATATCATAATATTTTCAGCAACTAATATTTATTATTAAATTATAAACAAAATACAACAAATAAAAATATAAAAAAACAAAATAGGAGTAACAAACAAAATTGAAAGAGGATTAGGTTTTGTGAAAGAGCTTTTTATCCGATTGAAGCAAAGAACCACCGCCGGAAGTACGATGTTGCGCCTAGAATGGTGAAGCTTCCATTCTTCGATTCGACTCAATCTTCTTCATCTTCTGCGCGATCTTTGTATCATCCGAATATCAAGGTATATAAATTATTGATTCAATCTTCTTCTACTTCTTTTCAATTTTCTTTCGATTTTACCGTGGTGATGTGTTTCGGTTGAAGTTGCAGAATCAGTTGCATTGATGAAGATGATGAACGAATGAAGTTATTGATTCAGTGAAGATGCATTGAGGACGATTGAAAAACGGAAGGTGATGATGCTGTTTTGAGATAACCAGAAGGTGAGTTTTTCTTTCTTTCTGTGAATCTCCTTCTGAGTTTTTTGTGTGATTTTCTGATTGAATGAATCGTGAGCCAAGTGAGAGAGTGAAAGTTTTGTATGATGTAAAGGACTTGTGATGATAATGGTTTTGTAATGCTTGTGAACAACTTGTAATGAACATGATAGACTACGGTGGCTCCATATTCAGAATTTCAACCGCCGGTCACTGCAATTTGAGTGTTCATTCAGTATATTAAATCCATCCTCTTTGTCGAGAAAGGGTCTTGATGTTCATACTGTCCATCTCCATAGGCTACTGATGCGCTTTCAACATTTAGAGTCTTTATCCTTATGTGGTTGTACGGAGCTCAATGATTCAGGATTAACCCGTCTGCTAAGCTATGGTTCGAATTTACAGAAACTTAATCTAGATTGTTGTTTGAAAGTTACTGATTACGGGCTATCCCTGGTTGCTTCTGGTTGTCCCTCATTGACGTCAATTAGTCTCTATCGGTGTATCAACATTTCTGATGACGGATTAGAGACTTTAGCCACTGCTTGTTTATCTTTGAAATGCATAAACCTCTCGTACTGCTCACAAATATCCGACAAAGGGTTGAAAGCTCTTACTCAGAGGTGTCGTCAGCTTCAGGCAGTTAACATATCACACTGTGAGAGTATAAGAGGTGTTGGCTTCAAAGGGTGTTCAAAATCTCTCACACATGTAGAGGCTTGGTCTTGTAAGCTCAACCCAGAAGGGGTGACGGGAATAATTAGTGGCGGTGGTATAGAGTATCTAGACGTATCTTGTTTAAGTTGGTATCCCTTAGGAGATACCTTGCTTGGAATAAGATTGTCCTCAAACCTCAAAGTCCTTAACTTTCGAATGTGCAGATCTGTTTCCGATACTTCTATTGTTGCAATAGCCATGGGATGTACACTACTTGAAGAATGGAACTTAGCATTATGTCATGAGGTGAGGATATCTGGATGGCAAGCAGTGGGGTTATATTGTCAGAATTTGAAGAGACTGCATGTTAATCGATGCCGTAATCTCAATGATAATGGCCTGCAGGCATTACGAGACGGTTGCAGAAGTCTCTCGGTTTTGTACTTGAATGGTTGTGTTCACGTGACTCCTTTTGCATTAGAGTTATTCAAGTCTCACAGAGCAAATGTTTGTATAAAGGATGAAGAGGTAATGTGCATCAATCCTTACTACTTGATTGTTAAGTTTTGTAATATTCTATCTTAAATACTCACAGATTAACACATGCAATGAATTGTCGGATTTTGGCTATTTTATTATTATGGCTTGTGGAATCACTGTTTTGCAGCAAATAGGTTTAGTTCCATATACATATTTCTGTTTTGAATTATCAGGTTGTTTCTTATGCTGAAATTGGTGTTATGCTCACCACTCCTAATTTTTTGTTGTTTTAGATATCAGCTTCATATATCATATAATCCGTGGTCAAGCAACAATCAAACTGTATGTGATCTACAACGTCTTAGAGGTGAGCATAAATTAACCCTTATCCAAATTTTACTTAGTAATTTGCTCTCCTTTCATACCAAATATTTGGACTAACCCTATTATAGATATAGAGCAATAAGATTGTGACCAACATGATATATTCCGAAATATGAAAGAATGGAAGATAACTGAGCTGGCTTTGTGTTGATTTCAATAGGCTTTGTGTTGATTTCTAATCTTTTACGAAAGTTTGTAACATGAAGAACAAAACGAGTGGCTTATCTGTTCGCACTCTCAAGGTGGAAACTTCGCCAAGCATTGAAACTATAGATTTTTTAAGTAGTTTTTTTTTTTGTCTAGAAGATTTGTTGGATTCAAGTTTCTGAAGGAGATTGTTTGGATTAAAAAACTGTGAGTTTGGACGGTTGAAAAAATGTGTTAATTCAAAATTTCAGAGGATGAATTAAAATACTTGATTTTGGCAACCTGCATGTTTTATTTGTTCTTTGGCGTGTTCTTTAGAGTTTAATTTTTTTGGATAATATCTTATAATTTGTAACATATTCACTTTCTGTAATAAAGATTTTTTTTTGGACAGTATATGTTATTGTAAAAGTTGAACTATTGAAGTACTATTGTGTAGTTTTATACTTAATTTTCATGTGTTTCATTCTTGGTTGAATAATATTAAATTTCACAGGGGTCAATTTAATTGGAAGGTTTAGAAGAAAATGCAAAGGCCAATGAAACTTCTTAGTTAGTGGTGAGTTACATGAAAGAGGAAACATTTTAGGGATTATGTATTCCTTATTTGTATGTTGAAGCAATTTAAGAGATGAAGTATTTTCTTAGAACCTTGACAGCCTACCATGTTATTGCAAAGGTATATTTTTTATATAGTTTATTCATCACACATGTAAGTTTCTCAATCTTCGTGGTACTTTTTCTTCCATTTCGATAATGAATGTGTTTCTTCGTCATAGCTTCCCATCAGGTGAGCAAGGTTGGTGCTTATTCAAGAATAAAGCAAGAACTAGAGTCAAAGAAACAAGAATTCACCTATGAAGAAGTATTAAGCATTACCAGAAACTTTGAAAAGGTGGTGGGGGAAAGAAGCATCTGAAATAGTCTACCATGGCTGGATTGTGATGATATTGACGTAGCTGTCAAAATGCTATCTTTCTCATCAGCTCAAGGATATCTACAATTTCAAGTAGAGGTAGTATGATTAACTAACTTGCAAATGTCATCATGCCTGTGTGAGTGTAAATACAGTTAACAAGTTTTATCCTTTGTGATTGAAAGGCCAAATGTTTTGCTATAGTTCATCATAAATACTTGACTGGTCTTATAGGGTATTGTGATGATGGCACCTAACAAATGACAATTTTAATGTTTGTTGTTTTATTTACACTACTACACATGTGAGTGAAATATTTGTAGTAAGTGTTATTGAAATTCGAGTCTTTTCGTTTAATTTGTATCAGTTATAACATAGGAACTCTAATCGCTAGATTTGGCCTTTATCAAGGTTACAGATTCAATTTTGCGCTGCTTACATTTTCATCGGGGTTGTTTGCATTCTTCTTTATTTTGTAAGTGATTATTGCTCACATTTTTTTTAAATACATGCTTTCAATTATTATTGTTTATGTTAACCTGTATGACAGTGATTGAGTTTCATGGTTGATGTTAATATTACATGAAGGAGTATGAGTACATTGCATAACAACTAATTGCTTGCTTCTATTCCTCCAAGCTGGAGCTTCATCGATCAATTCACTGTATTAGTACAAGGTATTCATGTTCCTCCTGAATGTACATGTAACGTCATAGTAAATTCTATTTTACAGTTTGAAATATTCTGCCCCTTCATATTGAGCGTGTTCTTTTTTATTTAATCATTTTGTTTAAACATGGTTAATGATCTTAGGGACTAGACGCAATGGTTGGTGAACATGGAACTCAACTCTAGGGAGGTCAAAAGCAAAGAGTTGCAATTGGAAGAGCAATTTTGAAAGATCCAAAAATATTACTTCTTGATGAAGCTACAAGTGCCCTTGATGCCGAGTGTGCATGTATTGATACTAACTTGTGCATTTGTATGTTCTTTTTAAACCTTGGTGATTTCCTTGTGCAGAAACTAGGGGAAGGTGTGAAAGGGGTGTATATCTCGATAGACGTGGATTGTCTTGATCCTGCATTTGCTCCGGGAGTGTCTCATATTGAACCGGGAGGTCTTTCTTTCCGCGATGTTCTTAACATCCTACACAATCTTCAAGGTGATGTTGTTGCTGGAGACGTCGTTGAACTCAACCCACAACGCGATACTGTTGATGGAATGACTGCTATGGTAGCTGCTAAGTTGGTCAGAGAAATGGCTGCAAAGATTGCAAAATGATCAAGAGATTTCGGAGCTAACCTCTTTTTGTTATAGTTCCTGAAAATCGGAAAATCTCACTTGTTATAGGTAACTTGTAGCAAAGTTATAAGGTGGTATAAGCATATTACAATGTGCAATAATTTATAAATCTTTTCTCCCAATAATAAGTACTGGTATCTCACGGAAATCTCACGCTTCAATAGCAAAAGCAATGTCTCCTTGCATTATTTTACAAATGGTTTCCCAACTGAATTAATAATACTGAGTTAGTAAATATTTCAAAACAATTGGATTGCTCATTTCAAAACAATGTTGAAAAGTGATAGAAAATAAAATAAAAATACTATAAATAAAAAAATATTAAAGTAAATAATAATTTAAATATAATAGTAAAATATTATAGTAAAATAATATTATATTTAAAATTATTTTACTAAATAAAAATATTATTTGAAATTTATAAATCAGATTACGACGGTTAAAGTCAAATTCACGACGGTATATAACCGTCGCAAACAACAACAACAAAAAATAAAGTCAAATTCACGACGGTATATAACCGTCGCAAACAACAACAACAAAAAATAAAGTCAAATTCACGACGGTATATAACCGTCGCAAACAACAACAAAAACAAAAAATAAAGTCAAATTCACGGCGGTATATAACCGTCGCCATCTGTTGTGCGTGACAGTTTTTGCAACCGTCGCGAAATAGGCTGGGGACGCACGATTCTGCGACGGTACTTCTACCGTCGTAGATTGTAAATTGCGACGGTTTTAACCGTCGTAATCAGCCAAAATAACCGTCCCAATCTATCATTTTTCTTGTAGTGACTTATTTCTCTAATGTGGCTCCACTAGTCTCTCCTGCAGCCTTCTTAGGCTCATCGTTCTCAGCAATTTTCTTTCCAGCAACAACGTCTTTTCGAATAACCGGCGCAAACACACGACCACTACGGGTCACCCTGCTACTATCAGCTATATTTCCAACATCTGGCATTGGCTGGATGGGAACTTCCACCCCCATCTTCTAAGATTGTAGCGTTGTATTTGTAAGGCACCGCCTTATCTGATTTATAGGGAACAGGACCTGGCAGACTAATTACCAATGGGGTAACAATTGGTTTTCTATGGTACTCCACCTCAAGGTGAGCGGGTGCACCAAAACAAGGTACGATGACGTTTACACCTTCCTCAACACAATCAGCCCTCAAAAGGTCATTTCTGACAAACAAATCTTCGTCTGAAGAAAAATACTCATCCGCAGAGGCATATTCTTCCTCTGACTCTCCTTCCATCAAACAAACTTCAACCATATCAATCTCGTGATAATCATCTCTCTTTCATGTGATCTTGATAGTCCCATTGTCTAACAGCAGCTGAACACCCTCTCTCACAATAGAACATCCTCGGGGGTTTTGACAACAAACTAGGCAAGATCCATATTGGTGTTCCACCTGACCAGCAGTACGGCAAAAGGTAGCATGCAATTGTACGAGATCTTCATTCAAATACTCCACATTGAAAATTCTGAATTCACCAGGACATCCAGAAACCATATTCACTTCCTCTTCATACTCTTCCCTAGGCCTGATTATATGGATTAAACCTTCATCCATCATCTCCTGCAAATCAGCCTTTATCTTCTCGCAACCCTGGATATTTGTACTGCAAACAGCACAACCGGCATGGTCATGGGTATAATAACTGAATTCACAGAGGTCTATGTGCATTTTCACCAAATCTCCTCTAACCAGATTAATGTTAAAAAATCCGGAAATCACCTGGACAACCGGCCACCATATTTATAGCATTCACTCCCCCGTGCTTGGGTAGAGGATTTTCTTTCACATTAGGTCCCATGTCCTTGAAAGATAGAATTCTGGACTTCACCAACCTTTGCACTTCAGTCTTCAAAGGATAAAAATTTTCAACGCTATGCCCTGGTGCTCCCTGATGAAAAGCACATGTCTGGTCTGCTTTGTAATACCAAGGCAATGGAGATGGTATTGCTGGAGGTGGTCGTGTCTGGACCAACTTCTTCTGGATCAATGATGGTAGTAGCTCTGCATAACTCATGGGAATAGGGTCATAGTTCTCCCTTCTCTGATTATTCACCTGGTTCCCCTGCTAGGACTGTCTCTGATAAGCAACGGTAGTTGGAGCGGCATTTGTAACAGGAGTAACTGAAGCAACTTGCTGGTGACGCTGATAATCCCTTCTAGGAGCATTCACTCTCCTCTCTTGTATGACATCATTGGTATCCCCCTCTTTCTTTTTTGTAAACCCATAAGCTGGCTTTTTCACACCTCTGGATCCTTCTCCCTTTGTCAAACGGCCTTCTCTTACTGCCTCTTCTAGGCGGACACCCATTCCCACCATCTCTGTGAAATCACTCGGGGCATTTGCTACCATTCTTTCGTAGTAGAAGGCACTCAGCGTCTTCAGAAAAATTTTAGTCATTTCTTTTTCCTCCATAGGGGGAATCACCTGTGCAGCCACTTTGCGCCATCTCTGCGCGTACTCTGTGAATGATTCTCTGTCTTTCTGAACCATGGCTCTAAGCTGGTCATGATCGGGTGCCTTGTCCGCATTGTACTTGTATGAATGCTTCTCCCAAATCATTAAAGGTATGGATGTTGACGCTATCTAAACTCATGTACCATTTCAATGCTGCGTCGATCAGACTATCCTGGAAAAAGTGAATCAGTAGACGTTGATCATCGGTGTAGGTTGACATTCTCCTTACATACATCACCAAATGAGCACGAGGGCAAGTGTTTCCCTTGTACTTCTCAAACTCAAGGACCTTGAACTTAGCAGGCACTTTGACATTCGGGACCAAACACAGCTCATTCACATTCTACCCAAATAACTCTTTTCCTCTAAGAGCCTTCATCTCTCTTTGCATTCTATCAAATTGCTCTTGGAAATCATCCATTATGTCATAAAGACCCAAATCTTCACTCGGCGGAGGGAAAGGATGACACACATCTTCAAACGGAACCAAATTCACCGAAGGAGGTGCAGCAGGAACAATATGCACCATAGGAGGTGCTGGAGTAACAACATTTGGAACCACTGGAGCATCTTGGGGGCCCAAATTGAAACCTTCAGGTGCAAAATTTTCCGGGATTCCCCACGGATAACCCTGAAGCATACGGTTCTGAACAACAGTCGAAGTAGCAGATACGGGAAGAGCAGGAACTTCAGCATATTCCCTTGTTGGTTGAGGTTGAACACTCGGTGGCTAATTCTGAGCAACCACCAAAGCTTCCATCAGAGTAGTCAAATTGGCCAAGCCAGCCTTCAGAGTAGAAATTTCTCTGTGTAGCTCGCGATTCTCATGTTCTAAATTGTCCATCTTCTTTTTGAAGTTAGCCCGAGTGTTGTAGTGATGAGTCAGTTTGCTGAACGAAGCAAAGAAGTTGGGTAAGGCACCTGGGTATGCATAGTAAATGCAAGAGATATGTGCAATATGATGTATGATATACAATGCACATGATTTATTTTTTACTTTATCGTTTAATATTTCAAGGGATTTAACGTTTATAGAAATATTGCAAACATCAAAATAATAACGCATTTGAAATACCGAAAACTTTTATTATCATAACTTCAAAATGGGTTACAAGTTTCAATGATCCCAAGTACAAGACGAGAATACAATCTAAAATCCTGAGAAAAGGAACTCATAGAGATCAATTTGTACGCTGGCACTTCCCTGTGAGTCTGGCAATCTGAGCCCTCAACCTCTGGTTTTCTTCCACCTGTCGGATGGAAACCTCCTTCCAATCATCTGAAGCAGGAAGTGAGTAATCAGCACCTGTTTGAGGCTTAGGAGAAAATAAATCCCCTTGCCTCTCCATAGACTCCACCGCTCGACTCTCAAGGATCTCGATCAAATCATCTTTCTCCTTCAAGTCTGCTCTATAGGAACTCTCTAAAGTCTAGAACTTGTTCTTCCAAGCATCCCTTTCTTGCTGCATCCTAACCAAAGCGAGCTACAGTTCTTCTAGATCATCTAATAAAGGAGGAGTCATCTTCACAAATAAATCAGGCATGGGTGTCTCCCGAGTATACGGCATTTTCAACTAAATGGCTCTCGATTGGACCCACTTAAGATATGGCTCCAAAGAAACAACACCTCTAGGCCCCAAATCCTTCCTATTCTTCTTGTGAATGTGACGTCAGGCCTTCGCAATCTTCTCCCTAGCTTCCTTGTGGTATTCTCCCTCCTTTAGAAAGAAACTACTCAAATGAATACTGTTCGATTTATCTCTCATCGGACATCCAAGTTGTCGCCGTGCAAGTACAGGGTTATAGTTAATTCCTCCCTTTGTACCAAGAAGAGGTACATTGGGGAAACTACCACAACTGTCAACAATATCTATATCATGATAAGCTCGATGATACCAATCAATATCCGAGTGAGTAAGTGCCATGATCTTAGGAGCCCAATAGGGTTCCTTCTTGACATCCCAAAAGGCATCAGACTGAGGCATATGAGAGATGAACCATTGGTACAACAAAGGCGTGTAACAGATAATCATTCCTCCATGATAAGAACTTCGAAGATGAACAGAGTAATACGCATCACCCAACAGTGTAGGAACCGGGTTTCCAATCATGAAAATCATGATAGCGTTAATGTCGATAAACTTGTCCACATTAGGAAATAAGAACAAGCCATAAGCAAGTAAAGCAAAGATGGCCTCAAAAGCAACCGTACTCTTCATTCTGGAAAAGTAATGAGCTTTCTGCAATAAGAACTGAGTTGGTAATCCTCTAATCCCTCCTTTATTAGTCATATGGGCTTCCACCTCAGACTTCCCCGGATGAATCAAATCATCAATCTCATGTGGTTTTGGCTCACACTCCAAACTAGTAAAAGGAACACGATCAGTAACGAGTAAATCCAATAGATAAGAATACTCCTCCAGTGTAGGCATCAGCTGATAATCAGGAAAATTAAAGCAGTGATACACTGGATCATAGAACTGGACCAAGGTCGAG